TAAGTATATAGTAATATTCTTGCAAATCCTTACCATCCTTAGGCTTTATAGAGGCATTTTGTCAAACGCCATTCTCCCCTTCATTATGTACTACCATCACTGCCACCTTGATGGATGACTAAATAGGATTTCCTTCAAAGTATTGTAAAGTTTCTAGTGGTACCAACTCCACTCTATTACATGAAGTCACTTTCTATTAATTAACTTTGCATTTGGATAAGCTTTAGGATTTATTTTTTCAAAGCACAAATGCATAAAGCCCCTATGGGTAGGGTGTAAGTGAGTCGAGCCTATTCATGAGTTACTTGGGCTTGGCTCACCAAATACTCAAACTTTGGCTCAAAGCTATTGAGTTCGAGTTGAGCTTTACTCAATTCAAGTATTTGGTAGAGCTAAATTCGGAGAGTGGCTCACGAGCCTAATTAAGCTCCTCAATATCAGTAACCTGTACCTTAGCGGTAGTGTCAAGTTAGTAAGGGGGTTAATCAAACCATGGACATTTTTTGTAAATTGAACTGGTCCTACCAGTTTTTCATTTTCTCCAAACTGAAACTGAACCGGTACCACCGGTTAACCGGTCCATCAGTTTCGGTTTTTGATCGGTTCGGTTCTTTGGCTTTCGGTTTTTTTAGTTCATAATATATATTATATAAATATATGTATAATATTATATTATAAATAATAAATGATATATCATATATTATAAATGTTATAAAAATATATAATGTATATATATTTATATATAAAATATTGAAAATATGTGACATATTTAAAATATATATACCGGTCGGTTCAGTTAACCGTCGATTTTTTCTAGGGTAACCGAAAACCAAACCGGTCCTTCGGTTTTTCAAAAATACCAAACCAAAACTGAACCGATTGGTTCGGTTAACCGCATTTTCTAGTTCGGTTTTCTTGGTTTGGTTCGGTTTTTCATGGACACCCCTAGTTAGTATCCGAACTTCAAATCATGTCAATGTAGTACCTAAACTTCTAAAAACTATCAATTTGGTCTAAAACCGTTAATATGCGTTTAAGTATCATATAAAAGGACAAAAATGCCCTTCACCTATCATCTAATTTTCTTTATCTACCATACTCACATAAAATGCTTCGTCAACACCTCAACCTCCTGGCAGACATCAATGGGAATAAGTTCTAGTTCCTGGTGGCACAATTCACCTGTGGCACAATTCCTAGCAAACATGTTATTGTTCTGGAAGACAACAACTATATTCCCAAATATGAAATCAATGGTACCATATATATCACATTCTCTATAAAATTGTCTATTAGAGTGGACATAGAGAGTGTCTTGATATCTTTCGAACTGCATCAGTAGAAAACGGATGTTTAAATTCAAATGAGCATAGAGATTCGCCACACACAATAAATGTGGATGCTTTTCTAAGAAGAATACGATTACACAAGAAGGGTGTTTAGATTCTCATTGATGGAGCAATAGCTAATTACCCTCAATCTATTTTGTTAATGTTTTAGATAATGAGATTGTAGTGCTTTTAATTTCTTAATTCTACCCATGGAGGTAACAAATTACTTGCAACATTCTCCACTTCTCTCCTTCCACATGTCTTATTGATTCAACAATGGCAAGAGTGAAATACATAGAGCCATTAGGCAGCGACGCCATTGCTGACAAGAGAAAGGAAACAATGGTGTCCCTTACAGCAGGACAGCCAATGTTGAGGATGGTCAAATTCCTCAAACCCAGTACAGGCTATCCTGGTGAAGTCGTTCAATTCCCCTCAGTTTCCCTCTTATTTGACACAACGGCTTCTTGGCTCCCAAAATGGCCTATAAAGATTACTTTCAAAGGGTGGAGGTGGAGAAGTCCATAGAAATGGAAAGAATGGAACAAGCATTTGCATCCACATTACAGAGACATTTGGAATGATGTCGGTATACATAAAGCAATCAGGAGTTCTGCATGTCAAATTTGAAGCGATGGTGAACTCATACTTTGGCTAGTCGAGTTCTAGTGCTCAGAGACAAACACATTTGTCTTCCCTTGGGGAGAAACAACCATTACATTGGAGGACGTACGTTTTTGTTCTTGGAGGATTCTTGATTCTAGGTGGACTCGTAACAGGTAGCTTGTCGGAAGAGCTTGTAGGGATAGGAGAAGAAATGAAGAAAGAGTGCAAGAAATTTTTGAAAACAAAAGCAAAGAAACCCACCCACTCGGACTGGATTAACTACTTTATGGGTCATGGGGATGAATTGGAGCACGTAGCCTTTCTCTCCTTGTGGCTCTCTATCCTCATGTTCCCTGCAATGGGCGCTAGGCAGATGCCCTGTTTGTAATGGCCACATGGAGTGCACTGCGACAACTATTCATGCAGAGGCACTTATAGCAAATGGTCAACTTGTATCTATAAAACAAGAGACTCACCAACTAAAGAAGAGACCATCAAAATTGACGGAGGGGATCAAGACCGACGTGATTAAGTAGCATCAAAACCCAAGTCATTGCTCTCACAGGACACTTATGGTAGAAGGCAATGAACAATATGGTTCAATCTTAAGACAGAAGACAAGGAGCAATGTCTTCTTTTTGAATGGTAGTTTTGACATTTTTAAAAAATTTAAGTTGCAAATGTCTTCACATTATAAGTTAACTGGTGGACTGCTAACGGTAGGGACTAAATTGATAGTTTTTGAAAGTTTAAATACTATAGTGACATGATTTGAAATTTGGGTACTAACTTGACACTACCCCTAAAGCACAGGGTACTAAACTGGAACTTTCCTTATAATATAAATTAATAAATTTGTAATTGATTTTCATTATATATTTTTATTTATAGTAATTATAATATTAATTTATCTATAACTTTTTAATATATTTAATATGCTTAATACTAATGTATTTATAATTTTTACTACTAACTTATTTATAATCAACTCAAATCGAGTCGAGCTCAAGTAGCTTACATGTACTGACAAGAGTCAACTTTTAGCCAAAAACATGAATTTAGAGCTTTATGTATTTGAGTCAATCTCGAGCTCAAGCAGCCTAATACTCAGCTTTACTTGACTCGATTATACCCCTACCTAGGGGTGCAATTTGGGTCATGTCAGGTTGGGTTGAGGTCAATTGTAACCAACCTGAGCTATTGAACCATAACCTAACCCAAAAACTTCGTGTTGGGTTGAGATTGGTCAATTTCAGGTTGCCCCAACTTCTCTACTTCCTTTCTCCAAATGTTCTTATTTCCTAAACTTAATAGTTGAGGTTGGTTGGTTTATCATTATCTATAGTTATATTTATATCTGTATCTATAATACTATAGAAAGTAGGAAAATTAGAACTTAGATTTTTGGACTTTTTCTTGACTAGAACACCTCTCTTTTGAATTTTGGCCCCTCTCTATTTTGAGGGTTGAGCTCATTCTTTTCCCTCTAATCAAGTCCCACATTTAAGGTATCAGCTACCATTCTCTCAAATCGAATCCTATATTTAAGATAATTTTGTTTTTCATCTTTAAATTTCATATGTTAAATCCATACACAATAACTTTAAGAAAAAAAAAATCTATGATGCCAGAAAGACATGTTATCAAAATGACTTTGACCAATAGAAACCCCTCATGAATTTTTATGAAAATCCACCTGATTATGGTTACCATTTTTTTGCTTGGGTGGTGGGCCAGTGGTTCAATACTTTGAGTCAAATGGGCCAACCCTTGATATTATAGTTAAATAATAAAATTTAAAAAAAATAGAAAAGTATAAAGAATTACGAAAAACCAAAAATTATAAAAAATGGGAACAACTATCTTTGTGGTGTATGGCAGTCTAAACTTCACAATGAAATGGGTCAATTCACGATGTTATAATTAAACAATAAATATTTAAAGAAAATATAAACACAAAAAATACAGAGAAGTACAGAAATTTTGTAAAATAGAACATTTACACACATCTCTAATGTTATATATTCATCATATTAAACAAAAATAGGTGTGAAAAATAAGCATTATTTTTATTAATGATAAAATTGAAAATAAAATAATTCAAATTTTTCCAAAAGCAAAATGGTTTTTCCATCCAAATGCTAGGTCCATGATTCAACCATATAGGTCAAGCGGGTCAACCCATGATGTTATAATTAAATAATAAAAATTTAAAAAAATAGATAGAAATGCAAAAGGTTGTAAAAATATAGAAAAATATATAAAAAATGTAGACATATCTCTAATAATATTATATTTATCATATTAAAAAAATAAGCATTATAAATAAGAATTACTTGTATTCGTGATGGAAGTGGAATACAAAAATTAAGAAAAAAGAGAATTAATCTCTAACCCATCACCCTACTCACTAAGTCAAACAATTCAATGGTACGATTATCTAGGTCACCATGTTGTTGACCAAGTCAATAGATTTTTGCAAGCAAACAATTTGATAGTAAATGAACCTAGTATCCCAATCAGGTGACTACTTAACCAATCAAAATTGGCCAACAATTGAACAATAAGGCCATCTGATTGTTGGTTTTTTGCAATAAACTGGCTTGGTTGGAAAATACTCAAAAATTTGTTCGAGTGATAGATTAATCAATTTGACCATTATTATAAATTATAATAAAATTTGAAAATAAAACTTTAGGTTGAAAGGTAACAAATCCACTAGTACCTCGCACTTCAATTACTTATCTTTGTTATATGGGTTTTGATGAGAACAATGAAATTATTATTTTTGTTATTGTTAATATTATTATCATCATCATCATCATCATCATTTGAAATTACAATGTTCCTCACACATGCACATTTACTAGTTATAAATAAAAGCAAATGGTTATCATGCTTTAGAAAATAATTGCCTTTAAAATTGTTGCATACATACATATAGCTAGATATATAGATACATGCATATATAAATAGATGCATACATACATCTATATAACTATATTTGCATACTTGCATACAAACATATGAAAATACATGTTTCTATAATATTTATACAAACAAATAGGAATTTAAGTCGAGTTAGGTTGGGTCAACCCTAACCCTAACCCTAACTTCATCGCAACTTTTTCATGTTGAGGCTAACCAGCCGAACTTGCAACCCTAAAAGCCCCAGTTTCAGGCTTTGTGCATTAGGACTTGAAAGTGTTTTAACGTTAGATTATTATATTTTCCAAAGCATGTTTTACCAAACACTCAAAACGCTATTTGACTTATTTTTGTTTCTTACAGCCCAAAGTTCAAAAGCAAAACCTATGTGAAAGGAGCCCCAATTTGCTTTCTTTTCTCTATTTTCTTTTTCAGCCTTTTTCTTTTAGACTAGGACACATTGAAAGGAGCCTTCCAGTTCCAGGGAGCTTGGATACAAAACCATCTTCCTTCTTACTTGGGCAAACCCCTCTCTCGCATGAGGAACACACGACAAGATTTGTAGCTGGAACCTGCATATACATTTGAGATGGCCGGCTCAGTGCACGTAGCTCCACCAACTGTCTTCGCAGCCTCCGATTCTCTTCCGATAAAATTTCACAGCATTGTTTAAAATATTCTAAGCCAACTTCTGTTTGCTTAGATTTGGTTCTATTATCGTCGATCATCACAACAAAGAAAAGGACAAAAAAAAGTGTCAAGCAACTCTGAAAATTATGAGCAGTGATAAAATTCTGTAGACTTCAGCTCTAATACAGGAGGAATTTACCTAGACTTATATATCCCAAAAAAGAAAATAAAAATAAGGGTAAATTACAAATACTCCATTGTATTATGTGTCAATGATATTTACCTCTGAATTTTTTTTTCGCTCTTGACTCAAAAAATACTTTTATTTTCTCCAAATAAAACCAGTTAAAATAACAATAGCAAAACAAGTTTGTTAGTTTAAATTCTTATTTCATTTCACTGATATGAACGTCTCTCATCATCTTAAGTTATAAAAATTATCTACTCATTTCTCCAATAAAGAAAAACCAAACAAAACCTTAAATTTATATCTATTAGCTAGAAAGAAACTTCTACCATTTCATCTAAATATTGGATTCAGCTAGAAATCTACAAGGATTTATTAAAGCAATCAAAAGGACTACAATGTTATATTTATAAAACTAATCAAATCATAAATAAACTAATTAAACAGCTGAATAAGAATATTTTTTTGAAGTTAAATGATGGAATCTAACAGAGGGGGAATTTGTCACAAAATGAAAGTTTAGAGGGTTCCGTTACAAATGAAAGTTCAGGGAGTAAATGCCATTGACCCCATAGTACGGGGGTCTTCGTAAATTATCCTAAAAAGAAACCTAAAATAATGAAAACATGGGGATTCATCTAGCATGGAAACTGACCTCAAAAATGAGTTGAGCCGAGCTGATAGCATTTGAAAACTTTTATACATAAGGATTCAATTAGTGGTGATCCTTTCTAGTCCAGCCTACAAATTTCCAGGACTGAGTCTAGGTTATGCATCCAGGCCCAGCGTAGGCCCATAAACATGTGGACAAGCCTGGCTCTATCTATCTATCTATATATACCTACAAATTTCCGGACTGAGTCTAGGTTATGCATCCAGGCCCAGCGTAGGCCCATAAACATGTGGACAATGCCTGGCTCTATATATATATATATATATAACATATATGTTTTTTTATACGACACCAGAATAAGTCATATCCAATCAACTGGTATCATAAAAGGTCAACTGGTGTTCACCAAAATTCATGAAGGGTTTCAATTCGTCAAAACAATTCCAATATCATACCTTTCCAACATCATATATTTACCCTCAATTTTAATATATACATACTAACTATAAAAGAGCGAATACCCCTTCTTTCTAGAATTTTCATTAGACGTTTTCTATCCCCCTTGTCTAAACATACAATGGGCATAAAGAGGGCATATATGTCATTTACTCTCATTTTAGAAACCGCCCACTTATATAACTGTCCAGAAACTGTCCACTTATAACTGTTCAAAAATTATCCATGAATTATAAATAGTTTTGTATTAGAGATACTGTCACGTGCAAATGCACATACATGTTTACTATTAGATATAGATGTGTGAATAGGCATGAGGCATGATGTAACCGGTTTTGGTCACGTACCATTTTTTTTATTTTTTGCTAAGTACCTCGTCATTTGACCTGCTCCCAAGAGAGGATGGTGGAGCTCCCTGTTGGAAACTGTCTGGGGGAGAGCTATGACGAGCTCCCTGATGGCGAACTGCCTGGGGGAGAGCTATGCCAAGCTCTCTGATGGCAAACTGCCTGGGGGAGAGCTATGTCGAGTTCTTTGATGGCAAACTGCCAAGGGGAGAGCTATGCCTAGCTCCCTGATGGCGAACTTCCTGGGGGAGAGCTATGCCTAGCTCCCTGGTGGCGAACTGCTTAGGGGAGAGCTATGCCTAACTCCATGGTGGCGAACTGTCTTGGTGGACTCGCCATTTGACCTACTCCTAGGCGGCCTATAACTCAGAGGATGGTGGAGCTCCCTGGTGTAGCGCAACCCGACTGACCTCTGCATGAGGTGATCTTCTCTCCTTTGTAGGCGGCGGGAGCTGAGGAACCTGTGAGAACTGAATCAGAGGACCCGAGGGTATTTACCCAGCGGGGACTCTCTGATGCTTAAGTTAGCACTCTGATTGTAGAGAGCTTGAAGATGATATTAGAGAGATGAGAGAGCTAGAGAGCAGGGATTACCTCCATTTTTTCCATCCCTTTTCTTTGGGGGTCGGAGTCCTTATATAGTGGTGTCCTGTCAAATCAGGCGTAACCGCCTCTGTCAAGTCAGTCATAACCGCCTCTATCAAGTCAGTCATAACCGCCTCTGTCTATCTGCCGCAGTCGTTACTGCCAGAGCTGAGGTGGCGGGTGCAGGCAGTTGTTGCAGAGTACGGCTTTGCTAGGCAAGGGACAACTCTCAGGGCTGGCAAGCACGACGCCGCCTGGTGAAAGACGTGGGTGCAGGTCACCGGATCTGTCAGGTACGGTTGTCAGGCACGAGATCTTCCTACGATATGTCAAACTGCTCTACCTTGTACCGAGCTACCCTGCAAGTGGTGAGCTGCCTATGGCGAGTTGTGGGGGAGAGCTATGTCGAGCTGCTTGTGGCGAGCTCTACCGAGATGCCTGTGGCGAGCTGTGGCAAGCTCTGTCGAGCTGCCTGTGGCGAGCTATGCCGAACTGTCTGTAAGTGGCAAGCTGCCCATGGCAAGCTCTGCTGAGCTGCCCGAGCTGCCCAGTTGTCAAGAGGTTGCACTTGGTTGGCATGAGGTGCCAGGTGTCACAATTTCTCTGGAGGGTCAAATCCGCCCTCATCAAGGCATAAGCGTTGAGAGAGGTTTTTTTTTTTGAAAAAAGGAGGAAATGATCCTTCATACAACAAATACGAGAGGGGCATTTTCTATGATGGAAGGGTATGATAATGGAAAAACTTTGACCAATCAGGACCTCCCCATCTCTGCCATGCCAATTTTGATGAATACCAGTTGATTGATTATCATAGTCAAACTCAAGCCACATCAGATGGCCCATGTCTTAAAGTTGTCATTAGAACATGGTTTTTGTTTTTTAGACAAATAAAATACTATTCATTGAGGATCGACAATCTATACATATATTAAAACAAGGAAGTCTAGAATTATTTTTTAATTCTGTAATTTTTGAAATAACCAATGAAATGCTATTTCCCAATAAACTAAATAATCTCTTCTCCTAAAATCTCTCCTAAACTACCTCCCTCACTATCCCTCACTTTCTCCAAAATTATCTCTAATTTAGTAGAGAATTTCTCTCCTATAATATTATCTCTAATTCCTATTTATCCTCTCTCCTACTTTTATCTACATCTATCTAAAGAATGTTTGGATTAGAAAAATTGAAGAATTATTTAAATATTCTAAAAAAATTATATAATATATTTAAAATATTTATTAAAAACGCAAAAAATAATTTTATATTTTTACAAAATATATCACCAAATTATGTGCTAACAATTTAAGTTATGTTTTCCGATTATCAATTTAAATGTTTTTCAAATATTTAATAGAGTGTAATAAATTTAAATAAATAAAATTCAAATAAGAAAATTTTTTAAAATATTTAAATAACTAAATATTTATCATAACTAGATTTTAAATAGTTAAAATAACGAAATTAAGCAATAAATTTAAAAAAATCCTCAAAGTAGAAAAATAATTATAACATAATATTGAAATTAATAATGATTTAATATATTACAAAATTAATAATGAAATTATGTAATAATTGTATAAATTATGATTTTATGAATAATTAAATCCAATAAATAATTGATATTTTAAAATTTAAATATTTTACACATTATTTAAGTATTTAAATAACAAAATATTTAAGGTAACTAGATTTTAAATAGTTAAAATAAAGAAATTATGTAGTAAATTTTAAAAAAATCTGAACAGTAGAAAAATAATTAAATAACTAATTTCACTTATATCAACTAATAATTCGAGAAAACAAATTAAAAAAATAATATTTATTAATAATAATTTTAAACTCTTAATCTATATTCATTATATAATTACATATACTAAAATTAATATTTATTGTATTTCAGTAATTATTTATTGTTTCTTGTGATAAATGTATTTTCAATGATTATGTATAAATTTATTTTGTTTTGTTATTTAATAGAAAACTTTCAATAATTATTGGAGGTTAAACTACTATTATTGAAAATTTTAAATTTAATTTATTGTATTTTTGTTATAAATTAATGATTAATATTTATTAGAGATTAAACTAGTATTTGTGATTGTACTATTTATTAACTAAGTTAATATATTTTTAGTACTTATTGTATTTTTGTAATTATTGCATTTCTCTCATTATCAATATATTTTCAATAATTGTATATTTTTCACTATAAATTTTCAATAATTATTAGAGATTAAACTATTATTATTTATCAGAGATGAGACTATTAATTTAGCTAAAATTATGAGTGTTCATGAATTGGTTCTGTTCGGTTATAGGCTATTTGGCCAACCAAATTGACCTGGTCAGGTTGGGGAGTTGGTCAACTAAAACCGACTGACCTTTTGTGAAAATCGGCCCACTCAAGTTATTTGTTTGGGTCGATTTTATGGTTTGGTCAATCGGTTCAAAAGATTTAAACTTAAAAGTTAAATTCAATTTTAAAAATTATAGTGCTATTATTAAAAAATAAATTTAAAACTTAGATTTATGATATAAAACATTTTAGACTATAAAATATGGGAAATTTCTCACTTTTCCATATTAAAAATTATATTTAAAATATAAAATATTAAAGGATATCCATGCTTAGGTCGTTTGATTTTGATCAGTTTAGAAATGGCCAAAGTGAGACTGATCCAACTTGGTCAAATTGGGAAATTTTTTAACCAAAGCCAACCTAAAATACTAGAAAATCAACCAACTCGGGTCGAGTTGATCGGGTTGGTCGATTTCATCAATTTGATAAATAAACCTAATTGAAATTAATTATTGTTTTTTTGTAATATAAAAATTTATTAAAAATAGAATATAAAATATGAATAATTATTAATTATTTAAAAGTTGAAAATATAAAACAATTGTATACTCTTATGTGTTTCTATTAAGGTTATTTACTAGAACACACCTTATAGTTTTATATATTTACTTAAACCTACCTTATAGTTTTCATTTTACTAAAATATCCCATATATTTTACAACTTATTTACTTAATTAACCTTTCATTAAGGAGTGTGTGTGTGTGTGTTTTGCCATTAGGCCCATGATTTTTTATTCCAAAAATACCCTTAGCACTTTTTTGTACAAAAAACAAAATTGACCAAATATATCCAATAGAGTGGTTGCCTGTGTCTTATTAAGGAAAAAATGGTATTTGATTGATATTTTCTTTTGATTAAATTTATTTTAATGAACATTAGGGTCAACACTATCATTTTCCATTGTCATCTAATGGAAGATTGATTAAATCCATTGCAAATTATAAGTGACATTTTAGTAAAATTCTAACTATATGGTAGATTTTAGTAAATCCATGAAACTATAAAGGGTATTTTATTAAATGACCATTTCTTTTTGCTTAATAAATCCTGTGCATCTCACGAGTCCCCACTAGTTTTACAAATATGAGGTTACAACCAAGGTTCAAAATATCGATACGTATCGACTTGTATTGGCCGATACGTATCATGCCGGTGGCTTCTCGATATGCCCCTATAGGGGTTGTATCGGGTCAAGCCATGGTTTAGAGGATAGTCGGGACTTAAACCAACCCCTCTGAGATGATTTTGAAAAGAAAATAAATAAAACATAATAAAGGTACCGATACAAGTAGATACGCCAGTAGTCGATACTTTAAACCTTGGTTCCAGCCATTCAGGTGATGAATCCCACCTCTTAACACCATTGCTATATTTATCTTTTGAGCAATAACATGAGCAGCCCTTGTATAAATTCTTGATTTATACACAAACTTTACGAAAGAGATAGATTTAACTACAGATAAAATTCTATCAGTCCAATTGGAAATAAACCAAAAGAGAGGCAAACTGAATGAACCAGGTCAGGCCTAATTTTACAAGTTATGTGTAGTTTGAACCATAAAATTCTATGTCCATCTTGTGAAAATGCTTGGGTTTGGTTTGGCCTGCACAAGCTGGGACTACGTTTGATCATTTTTCTGGGCCAGGATTACACCCCAAACCTTAAACATAAGCTCATATTAGACCCTATTAGGGCCCAAACTGGGCATATCTGGGCTTTTGAACCTACAATTTTAAACATATTTTTTAATATCTGTTATATTTATATTATATTATTATATGACATAAAATAGGATAAATCTATGATGCTAGAAAGGTATGATACCAGTAGCGCTTTGACCAATGGAAACCTCTTGTGAATTTTGATGAATACCACCTGATTGGTTACCACTTTTGTGATACCGGTTGATTGGATATGAGTTATTCTGGCATCATGTCTTTCTAATATCCTAGTCAAACCCTAAACAGAATGTGCCAAGTTGGCACTTTCTTACTTTCTATTTCTTTTTGAAATAGCACTTAGATTTTTTCTAGTTTTTTGAATTTTTCTAATTTTAAAATTAAATAAAAACAACTTGGGCAATCACTTTTAAGACTTTTATCTCTCCTCATTAACTTATTCTATTTCCTCTTTCTCATTAACTCCTTAAATTATCTCTCATTAATTATGCCATTAACTATCTCTTTTAAAAGCTCATGACACTAATTCTCTCTCTCTCTCTCTCTCTCTCTCTCTCTCTCTCTCTCTCCTAATTACTCCATTAAATTGCCTAAATTTCATTAACTTTACCTATATCTATATCTATTTCAATTTAACTATATTTTTATATACATTAGATGTATTTATATTAAATTATAATTATTAATAAAAATTAATTATATTGAAACAGAGATATTCAATAATATATTATTAGGCTAAATAATCTAATTTCATTTAAAAGATAGTTAATTTTTAAGTTAATTAATCAAGTAATATGCATTTCAACATATATAAATATTATTTACTTATTCAACAAATAAAACCTGTGTTTTAAAAACTGACTTGGAGGTTGAATAACTTTTTTCCTCTATGTCACAGGTCAACGGTTCAACTGTTCATGTTGGATGAGTCAAATTGGGAAACATCCAAACAGATATGTATAATATAATTGCATTTTACATGTGTGTATATTATTTTAGGCCTAATTACTTTTATTTTAGTTTTTAACTTTTTTATAAATAAGGATCCAAAATTGAAATTTGAAGCAAAAATTGAGTTTTTTTACATAGTGGGGCTCAAAGATCACGAAAAGTTACCCAAAAGAAAATAAAAATCACCCCAATCAATAACCGATCACAAAGTTAAGTCCCCCCCTAAGTTTTTAATACATTGTAAATTGTAACCCATGACCCAATGATTAGGTCAAAATGGTCAATGGTTCAATTGCCCAAGTCAAAAGGGTTTTGACCAAACCAATGGTTTTTGACAAAAAAAAGCCGGTTTTAGGAAACTAGGAATAAAAATAAGGTCAAGTGATGGTTTGAATGGTTTAACCATCCAAGTCAACCATAGGTTGAAAACATTGAATAATCCATTTATATTCCATTTGAAAATATTGAAAATTAATTAACCATAGTAAAAATAATTTTATTTGAATAAGATAACAATGATTATTAGTACAATTTGTACAGTTGGAATAGTGGCAAGTGGAGGAATGAATGAAAATTCAAGGGGGTAATGAATCATAGGTGGTGTTGGTAAATAAAACCAAAAAAACTAATAAAAGTCCATGAGGTGGACTAAACTCAAAATTTCCTCAAAATAAATTAGTTGAAGGTAAAGCTGAAACTTTAAATTGTGTATGGTAGTGTCTTAACAGTAATAAAGATATTTTGGTAATTTTGGCGTCTTTCTTACTGAAAAGATGAAAGAAAGGAGGTATTTTCACTTCTTATTTTCAAAACTATAGGGGAGGTTTTTGTTCGGGTCAAAAGTCAAGGGTGGTTTATAAGATTGTTATAAGAGGAGGTTCTCTTATAATTTTACCTAATAATTAATATAAAAAATCCAATAAAATTTAAAAATTGATAATGCACAACTTGGATTAAGTCCTTTTCCCCAAATTAGTGGTTGCAAGAATTGATTCAGTGTCAATACTCGAGAGAACCATCTAATATACCAACTAGCCACCCCTCGACTAGTAATCCAGTTTGATTATATATAAATAAATTTATATTGTATCTACTAATGAAAGTTTGTTCAAATGTTAATAAAGAAATACCATTAACCAATGTTGGTCCGATCTATCTCGGTCTTCATAGGGATGGAATATTAGGCAAAACCCTAACCTTGGGCATAAGTGGCCACCCTCATATTTAGGCCCACATTCTCATGCTTGCCAGTCCAAAATTTCATCATTACATGGCCCCTGACTTCAATCTAAGATCAGCAATTTCATGGCCAACAAGGTTATATCTGTAATATATTGATTTTAGTGAACAATTTAGATTATTGATCAAAAAAATATGCCTAAATCCTCAATGTTAGGTGTTCCTAGTTAGCTAACTAGAATGATTTGGTTCAATTTTTTTCTGACTCCAAACTTAATCAGATTATTAGTCAAATAGCTCGAATTAAGAAACTTAAGAAAGTGGACTGAGTTCGCTCAACACATCATGAAAAGCTTAATATTTGATTATTTTCTTAGTCTATTAATATGTATCAGGAACATTAAATCCTTTTTCTGTTAACCCCTAACTTTACTGAATGTGGAGGAAATTTTACTAACTACAATTCTATAACCTTAAAATCAATATATAAATGTAACTAGATTGAGACAAATTAGATAATTTGAGGTCTCTCTAACCTTGCTCTTCGATTTTGGAACCAGACCTCAATTTGCCGAGGCTTAAGATTAAGTCCTTTTGCTAGTTCGGTTTTCTCCTTCTGCTTCACCAAATAAATAAGAAATGAACTTCAGTCAGACGTGAATATTGTAAATTAAGGTATTCTACTCGATGCTATTTCTTCTTTCCCATAAACAATCATAAACAATTAGGGCTGTAAGGCTGTTCAATGGATCGGGTCTGGGTTGGGACAGGAATGTCTCAGTCGCAAACTGATTATTAATTAAGACAAAATCAAAGACCCAGCACTGTCTCAATTGTATTGAAAATATATTTATTTATTTAAATAACAATTAAAAACATAAGTTTTGATAATATAATCTTAGTAGATGATAGTAAAATACTAAATTATTTATATGCATATTTAATTAATAATATCTTATAATATTATCTATCAAGTAAAAATTTGGATTGACCCAATTATTAATCGGAACAAAATCATAGAACCAAAAATCATTGCAGTTAGGTTTGACAGTCAAACAGAACCAACCCATTGACAGCCCTATCGGCAATGGCCAATGTCAACAGAACATTTTTGGAAGGACATTTTATGCCGATGTTTTGTGAAATCAACCACCTAGGTGGGATCCATATCAAATCACACAGTTACATTATGAATGTAAGGGTGTCAATGGACTCGGTTTTGGATTGGACCCGTCCAGTCCAAAATCAATTTAGACAGATTGGATGGACCAACAAGACATATTGGATTGGACTAATCTGACCTAAAATATTTATTAGATTGGATTGGACCTGGTCTATTCGTAATAAATTTATATTATGGATTGGATTGGACTAAGCCAATATCTGGTCCATTGATATAAGACAAGAATATAAGCGTAAATGGACCATGTTTGAATTGAAACCAATCTAAATCAAAACGAATTTGAACAGATTGGACGGTCCAGACATTAAATTGGACCGATCCAAAATGATCATTGAACTGGATTGGACCTGGTCCATTTATAATGGACTCACATTGAACACGATAGGATTGGACCAAATCCAGTCCAGTTGACACCCCTAGCTGAATGCAATGGCTGTTTAGTTATCGGGCTGTAGAACTAATGATAATGCCCCTCACCAGTCATAAAATATGTGGGGCCCACAATCATCCCATCTTTCATTGTGGGTCCCATGTATTTTATGACCGGCGTGAGGACATTTCTCTATATTATTTATATAGCTATCTCTAATAAATTATAAAATCTACCTTGTCAATAATTTGAGTTTGCTCTAAAAGGCAAATATATATTTTGTTCATGGATGTTGTGTATTATTCCGCCCCATTCGTGAGGCTGGTATATATGACCAGTGGGCCTTGCATTTCTGCCCATTATGTTGTGTATTATGTAATACCGGTCTATATATCATTTCATGTCGTCTTGTAGCCAAAATTGGAGAGGTTCTATGTCTCATGGATGGTTCCAGAGATGAGTCTACAGTAAGTAGCTTTGTGAGCCACCCGTCTTGCCGGCCTACCTAAAAAGTAGCTACAATAATTAAGTAAAACCCAGAAAAAGGATAACCATCTTTATCTTTATTTTTGGATGATAGATCACCAATATTATTCTAGACATAACTTTGTGAGCCACCCCTCTTGCCTTATTCATCCATTGTTGGTTGTGAGATGTACAAGGACTGCATCAAAAGCAAGAAAATGTTCTTTCCTCTATGTCATGCTGAATAGATAGGGAACAGTACTATCGAATCTGGATTTCCTCGCTTAATATTCTCCCACCCACCTTACAACACTTTTAGCCTTGTATTGATTATTGAAAATATCTCCCACAAATTAAAACATACAGATGTTACTGATAGCTGATGTGCAGTCGCAACATGCTGTAAAATGGGTATGAAGACCATTCTGCATGCAAAGAGGAAATCCAAATTCAAGCTACTTCGTGGAGCTATATGAATACACCAAAGGCTTTGGTTTTGATTTTGTTATCTCAACACAATAGCAGCACTACAAGACTATCGATCGACACTGTCTGTCATAGCAAGAGTGATTTGAAAGATAGGGGGCCGGCCCATTCCTCAGTCTGACAGTTTATAAACTATTTTCCATTTAAAATTAAGGTTCAACTATGCTGCTGGAAAGACATGATACTGGGAAAATTTATAGCCAATCAATCGGTGTCATAAAGGTAGGAATCAATCAACTGGGTTTTCACCTATATTTATAGAAGATTGATTTATCAAAACCTTTCCAATATTATATCTTTCCATCATCATACATTTTTCCTAAAATTAAAACTTCATATACCTGATCGAGTGTGTTTTGCTGCTTGAAAAAGTTTTCCAGAATGGCCGTCTGATGAGCAGTCAGTCGATGCTTTCTTCTCTTCATCATCGCCAAGCCCTCTTTTTTCCTTGCTCCGCCTCTAGTCTTTTCATTATCATTGTTGGGACTATAGTTGCTTTCTCTTGGGATCTCGTTCATGTCAATCATCACAAGCTCTCTCTCCTTCCTTTCTACATGTCAGCCAAGGCAAAGACTCTAGGGATTAAAATTCTAGTTAGCAACCATGCCTCTAAAGTACTGCTGTCAATGGATGGGATTGGGTCAGACTGATTAAAGTGGATTCAATCCCCTACCCCAATAAGTTAATGTGTAGAATTTATGGTTTTCAAAACTGGACAAGATAGGACGGTCAGATTAGAAAAACCGGGAATCGGTCAGGTAGTCAGTTTCATTTTACCCTAGACTCGTTATTTTGTCACAAAAAAAAAAAAACCCGTTGATTTGGTCTATAAACTGTTGATTTGGGCACTTGAACTGTCCAACGGTTTTGGTCATTCGACCCGGGAACCAGACCCCTAACCAGTTTATTGTCCGATTCGATTTTAAAAACCTTGGTAGAACTAGTTCTGTACCAGATATTCACAATGTGCAGTTAGATGTTGTACTTTACATAGTGTGCGAAGAGTTTTTACTTGCAGGAGATCCGGATATAGTAGGCTTTCAACACCATTATTATTGCATGAAGTTCATGTCATACAAAAGAAAAATAAGATAAATTGGGTCTGGATATGGTAAGCACGTTAGGTAAGCACAATGAGTGAGCACGTAATAACTGTGTGACACATATCTCAGTTAATATGCTTTTCATCCAAACATTTTTGCTTCGTTAAACAAAAATTGTCCATTATTTTATTATCTTTGTAAAAGTAATTAATTAAAAATTAAAAATAATGAAAAAAGAAAACATAAATGAGTCTCAATTCCCAATATGTTTAGGTTTTCCTTTTTCATTGTTTTTATTTTTAATTATTTTGACAAAAATAATAAAATAATGAATAATTTCTGTGTAACAAAACAAAAACGTTTGAATGAAAGAGATATATATCACACAACTATTACGTACTCACTCGTTATGCTTACCTAACGTGCTTACTACATCCCGACCCAGATAAACTGCTTATATGACCTGGTGCAGACGCGATGCCTTATTTTTCTCTAATGGATCCTGCATTGTCCTCTCAAAACGCCATTTGTATCACTATTACAAGGCCAACAGTGTTAGTGGCCCTGCATTCTAAGTAAATGGTGGACAAGACTTTTTATTATCACTTCATCATGACAGGACTTTGGGTTGTAGTTTGAAACAGATCAAGCAATATGAGATGCACAGAAGGAGAAATGTCTTACCAGAACGAGATGGACCTTCATTGCTCAAGATGTGATGGACGGTGATCGTTTGTTTAGTTTCTTCTCCTAACCCCAAGCTTCCTTCTACTTCCTCTCCTTCCATGAAACAAGACACTGCTCATAGAACTCCGCTGGAAACACGAAAAGATATCTTAAATCTTAGAAGTAAAGAAAACAGTGTAGAACCAGCAGCAGAGAACAATTTACAGATTAAAGAAAGAAGGCAAACACCAATCAAATTAATGCCGACCAAGTAGTCCCCGAAATGACGAAGAAAGAAGGAGCCGAGTATCGCACGAAACCAACGGTTAGTCTTAGTCATAGTCGAGTAAGACGACCATGAGCAGAACATAACGTATTCCTTCTGCCTTCATCTGCCTTCTCTCCATTTTTTGGAGCTCAGCATCTCGCTTGGCGTTTATAAATCACGCCATGAGAGAAGTTAATTTTCAGGAATTCATTAACCATGGTTTGTTCTGTGTAATTGAGTGAAATTATTGATAGGGTAGAGAGATTCGAGAAAGATCTTGTGTTATTTCACGAATGATTAATCCGGCACTGCACATGCACCTTCAGGTGAAAATTAACGACAATTCCATTTAACACGTGTTGAGCACGTGACAATGTTCGGGTAAAGTGCAGACAGGAAGATACCGCCCAACGCGTTCAGTCTCGCCACGTGGCCCATTGGCACAGTATAAGTATGTCAGTCACTCTTTAGCTGTGGAGCCCGGTTTCCTAAACACAAATTAATTGGGCCCCACTACCAAATTAATTGGACTGGACCAAAACCAAAGTTACCCGATTTGAAGCATTTCAACCATTTTGGTTCGACCCATTTCACCCAACCCAAGTTATTAAAGGGGATGTTTGGAATCGTGGCCGTTTTTCAAAAAAATGGTGTTACGTTAGATTTACATAGGCGTTTCAACAAATGTTCATGTATCTTATTGTTTGGTTCAGCTGATTATTAAAAAATCGGGCATGCCTCAAAAATTGGGATCCACCGAATTTGACGTTTCATGCATCGGTGAACCAATTCCCTCAATGGTTGATTGATGTGTATTCTATGTGGTGCTTACCTATCAGTACATACATGAAAAACGGTGACGAAAATCACCTTACCAAACAGCATAGTGTTGCTCACTGCCTATGTGACAGAAGTGTTTTTTCTTATGAAAAACGGGTCTTAGAAGCATGGGTGTTTTTTCTTGAAAATCGGTCCCAAAAAGTATCCACGCTTCCAAACACCATGAAAATTTACAAGTTTTTGATGATGCAGATTGCATGAAGAACACAATATTAAGGGGATTTTATAGATTCTTTTATCACATAATTAATACAGTATAGCTAGTATAGTAATATATATATATAGGTTGGGGGTTTGGGACAATCTATACATACAACTATTAAAAGTGTGAATCTAAGTGCAGAACTTTTGTTTAACTAAAATACTCTAATTTTTGAATTTGATCCCTCACTCATAAATAAAAATGTAATTCAATAATGACTTTTATCATCATTCATATCCCTCTCATTAAGTCTTATATTTAAGGTATTAACTCCCATCGACATTTATTGAATCCTATTCTTGACTAAAATATCTCTATTTTTGAATTTGGTCTTTCTCTAATTGTGATTTTGTGAGGACATAAAATGTAATTTAAAATTCTACATTTATCTTCATTCAATTCCCTCTAATTAAATCTTATATTTAAGATATTAATTCTCATTCTTTCATTAAATCTTATATTAATGGATCATATTCAAACAAATAACAAAATCATCACTTATTTGATTAAAACATGTGAAAAACACATAAACTATTGATTATCCTTCACATAAAATTCAATATATTACTAAATTAATTCAACACCTAATACATAGAATTTATATGCTTTCTATAACAATATGTGAGTCGGGGAGGGTTGGGTTTAGACTAATACCATACTTTATTCGTACCCGTATGGGTTGCTTCAGGTCTAATCTAACACGTAAGACAAATTATTCAAACTTTTTTGGCAGTACATTAGTATTAGCTTTGGTAGGATAAACTCTCCAAGTATATCAAATGATTGAGAACATTCTAAACTAACACAAGTCTCATAAATGTCCAATTTAATGGATAATTTTATAGAAACATACTAATAATAAAATGAAACAATAATGTACTCTCATTCATTTACATTAAATATATTTATACATCAATCTGATTGGAGCTAAGGGCATACACAATCTAACATCTAGGGGCCATGTTCCTTACTTCAAATCCTATATTCCATGCATGTAATAACCACATAGAAGTCGACTTCCACTTCATACGTGAACAAGTTATCAAGAAGCGTTTTAGTGTTAAATTTATCTCCCCTAATGACCAAGTGGCAAAATGTTTTAACCAAACCACTATCCACCCCTTGATTTCGGCCTCTTTAACTTCCAAGTTGATAGTGGTGTGGTTCCCCGGGGCGCTAAGGATAAGGATAAGAGTCAAAAACCACGCAAATAGCTACCACAGCTCATCGAGACTTCAAGAACTTGAGAAGTATCTCAACTCAAACTCTATCCAACCTTATCATTCCTAGCCATCTAGTTCTCATCTATTTGTACTATGTTTGTATTCTATTGTATATCGCAACTATATCTTTACAGATATACCTAAACAGAGTCATTCACCTTTTCCCAAATACTTGTTTTCCTCTATTTGTTAGGAATGTCGATGGTGCATCAATGAGTCCGAAAAGGCATTACCATAAACTCACAATGCCTTTTGGTGGGTCTTGAAACCCAATTTAGGTATGTCCACTTAATGCATTTGAAACTAGATCGAAAAGTTAAGTCATTGAACTCATCAAAAGCTCATCAATGTTTCTTTACTAGGAGCATAATGAGTAGCAAGTATGGACTAGCGCAAAGGAGCCCACTTTCCAGCTTAGCCTTATTACACCAATCTTGAGCATATTAGTAACGGTATTTGTATGAGCATACACAAAGGAGCCCACTTTCCAGCTTGAGTACGTGGTATTTTGATGTTATGCATTCAAGGTAGAAATAGCTCTCTTTACTCATTTTACATGCATCACCAAACTTTTGCAAGACCCAACTTAAGTGGGGGTTGATCAAATCTGAATTTTTAGATGTAGAGTTACCTGGTGGATCCATTATTGATAGAGAAAAACTTTCCAGCAAAACTCGTTCCATTTTCATTTTTAATAGTGTCAATTGCAACCACCACCTTTTCACTAGGAAGGCTGTAAATGAATTGGGTTTTGGTTCGATTCAAATTCAAATCCAATCTGATTAAACCCTATTTAGATATTCATTTATGCTCAGTTAGGAAAGAGTATAAATGCAAATATGTAGAGTGCAAAACCTTATATTTTGTATTATTTTATATGTATTTGTACCATATATATTTGTATTTGTACTCTTTCCAAATTAAGCGTAAATGGATCAAATCGGTAAATAACTTAGGCCATGTTTGGGAGTGGTTATTTGAAATAAGTGCTTATTCGGGCTAGGACCACACCATTAACCACTTATTGGTGTTTGGGAAATAAGCCTAAAATAAGTGCTTATTTTAAAAATAATGGCTTATTTTTTAAGCCTAAATTTCCAGCTTTTTTTAAGTTCTCATACAATAAGAATTTATTCAAATTTTTCTCTCAAAATTGTCCTTGATAAATTTTTAGAATACCAATTATACCCTTTCAATATTGTTACTTTTAGCAACAATTAATATTGTTACTTTTAGGAAAGTAGAGTACTTTTGAAAGCTGTTTTATAAAATTACTTTTACAAAAGCACTTTTATAACATACTTTTATAAATACACTTATATAAAAGTACTTTCACGAAAGAACTTTTATGAAAGTACTTTTAGGAAAGCACTTTTACAAAAGTACTTTTTTTATAAAAGTACTTTTACAAAAAACATTTTTTATAAAAGTACTCTTACAAAAGCACTTTTACGGAAGTACTTTTATAAAGGTACTTTTACTGAAGTACTTTATAAAAAAACTTTTATGAATACAAAAGCACTTTTGTGAATGTACTTTTATGAAAGCACTTTTATGGAAGTTCTATCAAAATACTTTTATTCATTCTCTTTGGATTAGATATTTTGAAAGTTTGAAAGAAAATGAAGGACAAAAGAGCTACAAGTCCTTATTGGAGAAAAAGACCACCAAAAGTCCAATATATAATACACTAGAAAAAGCTAGGTCCCAAATGCAAATAACTGCTTATTCGAATAATCACTTGTTTTTAAGCACTTATTTTTAAATAAGCACTCCCAAACATGGCCTCAATCCGTTTAATAATAATTAAATTGAATTTGGATATAACATGATTTGATACGAGAAAAATCTGATTTGATTTAATTATGTATATTATACATTATATATTCAAATAAATATTCAATTAAATGAAGACAGGACCTATTCACCTAATCTTACTATCCACTTTCTTTTGGTCCTGTTACTCAAACCCGTTTTCATTCCTTGGAAATATTGGAACTAGATATCTCTCTTTTTGTTTGTCTTTAAGGAAGCACAATCAGAGATAATCACTAAAACAAATCTCTCTCTCTCTCTCTTCTCTTATGAGTCCCCTCTGGTTCTTGGTTTTCATCTTGCTCACTCCTATGAAACTAGATATCTCTCACTCTCTAGATCTACTCATTTTCAAGAAAGCACAATTATAAATCTCTCATCTCAAACAGATGGCTCCCTCGACACTGAAAGGAGGCTGAGATCCAAGACAGATATGAGTAGAAACCACCATTTTCAAACTTCAAATATGTTATCTCTGGTACACACATGCCTTCTTCTTTCCATGATTTTGTTCTAACCTTATTTTTTTTTTCTTCTAATTTTCTCTTATTTTTGGTTTCGGATTTGTTTTGTCAAGATATTTTAATTGAATTAGATTTGTTAGCGGATATTCGCTTATTTGTTGAATCCAATTCGAACTTAGGTCTTGCATATCCTATCTGATTCAAATTGAATTTGAATATTGGACATATTCTATTGGATGTTCTATTCAAAGTCTAATATGTTATTAAATTATAAGTACCAAAATCATTTCTAACCACTTTGACCCATGTCTTTTTGATTTACCCTTACCCCTTTTCATCTTAATTTACTTTCTTTCATTATATCACCTATTGGATCTATTCATAAATTCTTTCAAATGACTTAATTTACGATCATATTTCAAATAACTTCTATTTTCCAAAATAACAATAACTTCTATTTCCATATTAAAATATTTGAATTATTATTTCTGTTCTTTTCCCTATGAATTTTTTCCCTTGATGTAAATGACAAGACAAACAAAATGAACAAATAAGATTCATATATAGTTGGGATATGATGATGATGATGTAGATAGCAAGAAAAATTTTTTCATATTAAGGAATGTAAATATACAGTCAAACGAAAATTTTTTATCCATTTCCTCTTGAAGGTAACATGTATGCTACATGAATTACATATATAAATGAACAATATGGCATCTTTAACGTGTGTAGGTATATGTTGGTTACCACAATTGTAATAGCACAAAGGGTGCTAAATCAATGCCACAAAGATACTCGTGATGAGTTCAAGATTCGGTATGAATCTGTGATGAATTCTGAACCTACACAAGCTTGTGATGAATTCAGAGCCTAAAACAAGTTTGTGATGAGCTCAAGGTCACCACAAATCTGCAACAAACCCACAACCGTAATACCAAAGACAATCTCAGAGCCATCGCAAACCTACGACGAACATAAAGCCATCGCGAGGTTGCAGTGAGCTTAGATCCATTGCATATGCGCGATGAGATCAAAGCCATTGTGAGTCTCAGAGCCATCACAAACCTACTCATTTGCAATGAGCTCGAGTCCACCGCAGGTCAGAGACGAGCAAAGAAACACGTGCTTCATCAGTGCTGCGTGTGATAGAACGCCTAGTAGGATTAGAAAATACATGTAAGATTAGTAGCAATGTCATCCGTGCCATGTCAGTCTAGGAGATTTGCAAAAGAAAGTGATATATGTGTATTATGAGAATCCTTAGACGAATGGAAACCTTGTAATTGAGATATCTCATAAGAAACATGGCAAAACCCTAGTGGTGCTCCCTGACAACTGATACCGAATCAAGGATTCCCTTTCCTAGTGGGAATCAAACCCTTTTTTAGCTCCTCCCTTTTGAGACATCGGGATCTCTCCTTACAAATAGAGGTCTAGTTCATAACGAGAACATCATTCTACCATTCTGTCACTTAGAGCCTTTAGCCTATCCTTTGCCCTCAACCTTCCTTCGTCCTTCAAAGAGATCCCCGTACATAACCTTACCACACCACTCACAATGTGATTGGTTAAAATTTTAATTTAATGTACATAAAAAAATTATAAATGCATAAATTGGTTCAAAACATAGATTTTCAAATTGTCATTGAGACATTGACTCAAATGGTCATACCGTTCGGCCCAACAACTATCCAGGCAACATATTCCATTTCAACACTGAATCGTTCATTTGCCACAAAACCATTAACTTGATCAGCAACCCAATGACCTAGGTGGCCGAACTGTTGACCATTTGCCCCGAGCAACAATTTTTGATTATTTTTTTCAATTTTCTTTTAAATTACAATGGACTATCCTTTTAGATTGGATGGTTGGATTATTAACCCAGAAATCGGTGGCCAAAGTGATTCTGGTTTTGGATCGTTTTTAAAACATTTGTTCAAAACTTTTTCCAATTTAGGGTCCCTTTGGTTTGCAAGAATAGGGGTCTAGAATCAGAATCGGAATGGGCTATTCTAATTCCAACTATTTGGTTGGACGGAATCAGAATCCCATTCCTATTTCTACTAGAATGGCAATACCCCATTTGAGGGAATGGCCATTCCCAGCTGATTTTAATTTTCATTCCCATTCCTGTCTCAACCAAACAGACTATAGGAATGGACCATTCCAATTCCAATTCTAGAGAATTTCGATTCTGATCCTGATTCAGATTTCAATACGAACCAAACGGACCCTTAAAGTAATCAAGCGATTGGGAAACATTCCATGGCAGGCGAGATAGGAGTCAGACGTGAATGAAGAATGTCCCTCTGTGGTGAAAGCTGGTTGACCACCAAAAATAATGTTGTGCTGTGGTCGTCTACATTATCCCCTCCAGGTCCAGGCGTGTGGGTTTACGATTTTAAGCTGGGCCGTTCACCTACCTCATTCCTTCCAGGTGGCGATGACTGATCGCTTGATCTTTTCAGTTTTCACATACTATGGGGTCCATGAATCAGTGCCTAACTGTCTATCCCAATATTCCATAATCACACGTGGTCTTATTTATTTTTCACATCGTTTTCAATTCTTATTCCGACCACGTGAATCAATTTGAATTCCGGGCTAACCCAAACCCAACGCAGGGGCAAAGGGGATCGATTAAATCGGTAAAGCTCGCCTGGTTTACGACCAGAGCCAAAGGGATTGCTTAAACCGGTAACTCGTTTTAACGATCAACGTGGCAGAATCAAGTGCATATAGCCAACGTTCCAAAAATGGTTCGCTCAGACCCTGAAAGCTCTCGTCTCGCGACGACTCGGGAGACCCGAATTTTTTGTTTGTTTTGCTATCGCTTCTCTCTCTCTCTCTCTCCGAATTTTTTGTTTGTTTTGCTATCGCTTCTCCAGGATCCTTTTAATGTCGCTTTCTGTAATTGGTTAATTTCATTTGCTATTGATTAGTGATCATTCTTGGTTCAGGGAAATAAGCAAGTTGCTCCATCATCTGAGGTCAGTATCTCTGGTAGCTTTCTGATAAGATTTTTGTTGAAACGAAATTTGGAGTAGGTCTATTTAATTCGTAGTTCAATCATTTGATGTGTTTCCACTAAAAAACAGTGAGTTGTAGAAGCTTATTACTGTTATTCACGGCGTGTGCTGTCTATATAAATGGCATATTTCTTTCTAAGGATTTGATAAATTTTCTGTACGAGTTGTAAATGTTGAAAAAGAAGATTGAAGACGTCTCTGCGAATACAGGTTATTGTCTATTTTATTCTGCATTTTCTTCTTCAACTTATTTTGTTTATTTTTATGTTCTTCTAGAATTTTTTATTCCTTTGCGGGGAAACATACATTTTATACACAGAATGAACTGCTCAGAAACTTTCCAGTTGTCCGAAACATGACATTTCTTTTTTAATTGTTTTTTTTTTTTGCTTCATTGCCTTTATTCTTGTTTCTATAAAGAAATATAGCATTCGGGTTAAAAGGAACATGAGACTTGGTAGAAGCAAGTCGGTTGCACTTTGATAGGGTCTTGGTGGTTTGGTTCTTTTCTATGTTGTGGGCTTCATTGCTAATTATATTCTGTTTTTACTTTGAACTCATTTATTCTATTTCTTTTATGCTTATCAGATTAATTGGGTAGGGTTGTGAGAGATATGACCATAGTTCTCCTTGGGAAGGGAGAAAATATCAACAATGGCTTGTAGAGCACTTCTCAGAAGGAAAAGATTTCTTTTTGATTACTTGAACTCTCCGTCTCGCTCAATTCAAGGATTGTCGAGTTTTGGACATGGCCGATCAACCCAATGTTTGGATTCATGGGTTTCAAGTCGGGTGTCATATAATCCATGTGCAGATTTTAACCATAGAAAGGAGGAGAATGTAGGTTGGGTAGGCAAATATGAATTATTTAGCTTTTCAGAAGCACGATTCATTAAGTGTAATTCATTTGGAATTTCAATATTGGGTTGTCAAAATGGAAGACCAGAGTTTATGTCCCCTTTGGCGATTAGGTGGATGTCACAATCAATTCTTAATGCATCCACAGCCACAGCTAGGCAACCTGAATTGAGCTGTAGGGATGAAGAAATTGCTAAACAGATAAAGGAGGCATCTCCTGAGGAATGTGATCAGGTTGTTGAAGGTTTGAGTTCGGCAAAGGCTAAAGCTAAAGCTAAGCAGTTACAAGAACCCCAAAAGAGTGAAAAGTCCATGCTACAAAGAGTATGGACTATGATTTTGGGGATTGGTCCGGCTTTGAGAGTAGTTGCTTCTATGAGCAGGTTAGAAACCAGTCGTCTTTCTTGTGTAATTTGTCAACACGGTTTCATGTATAGGCATTCCCTTACATTTTGTTTTCTATTTTTCAGGGAGGATTGGGCCAAAAAACTCTGTCATTGGAAAGATGACTTTAAGGCAACTATGCAACATTATTGGCTGGGTACCAAGCTACTCTGGGCTGATGTTAGGATCAGTTCAAGATTACTACTAAAGCTTTCTGGTGGAAAGAATCTCTCTAGGAGGGAGAAGCAACAACTTACACGCACTACGGCTGATATTTTCAGGCTAGTTCCTTTTGCAGTTTTTGTCATAGTTCCATTCATGGAGTTCTTGCTGCCGGTATTCCTGAAATTATTTCCCAACATGTTACCATCTACGTTCCAGGACAAGATGAAAGAACAGGTACAGATCGTGATGGCTGTTGTCATAATATGGTTGCTGCTTCACTGGAAATGAACTGCGTAAGCTGTAAATTGGATTTCATTTCACCTTTCCTTTTGAATTTGAAAGATTTTACCCTTGAGAGAGTTTCCCGTAGTACTTTGGAGACTGAAATTACTTAGGCTATTAGTGCATGCTTGCCGGTTGAATATTATCTTAATATCAGCATAATATACTATTCCTTCAGTGAACCATGCTCACACATACTCATTTTATTTATTTCCTCAAGTTGCCATCATGTTTTTGTTTTTGGTCTTTGAGGAACTTTTCTGTCAGAAGAAGCTGTCTCCATTGTCTCTGTGCAAGGGCAGTGCTAATTGCATCAAAGAGCTTAGATCTCCCACCAGGGGAATATTTTCAATCATTTTCTTTCAATGACAAAGTTATGTCAGAGATACCGGATAGCAAGGCAACATCCAAAGATTTGAAATCAGTGCTAGATATAATGTAAAATCCTTATTCACAGGTTTACACCTATCCTAGTGGAATCCATTATATTGCTGGCCAAACTTGGAAAGGGAATAAAATCTGTTCAGAACCAAGATATTATATGATTTTCCTAACAACATGGGTATTTTTTCAAACCCCTTTCTCAACTTATTGTGTTACCTGGAATTGAATGATGTGGCTATTGGTTCTCCTGGTTGCATTGTCAATTGCCCAAATTTATGTTGGCGCTGTTCAGTGATTGTGCACAAATCCACAAGAAGTTTTACCAGATAGGTTCTTTTAACAGATGGCAAGGAAAGGTTTAATCTATCAGTGGGTCCCAGAAGTGGAATTCCTGGTCCACCTAGCAGTTGGAGGACGCCTATGTTCTTTTTGGTGGAGCTCCTCTATTAGAGACCCTGTGGTTTGGTTTACCTGTGGCAAAGTGCGCCTTCTATGCCAAGCAGCGTCGAAATTCATTTGAGATGGTGAGGGAACTAGTGTTGGAGATGAGGGTTGAGTTTGGAATATAGGGACAATTCTGATTTAGTGACTGTGGAGGAGGTGGTTAGTTTGATTATTTCCTTCTTTCTAATAATAAAGTCAAGTTCTACCAGATGGATATTTTACCTTTCAAAAAAAAAAAAGAAAAAGAAAACAAAAACCAAAAGAAATAATCAAGTTTTGGAAGACTGATGGTGGGGAGAACAAAACATTTCTGAGTTGGTTATTCATTCTCCTCCGGGTTTGGATTTAGATTTTGGTTTTAGAAGGGGTCTTTGGAACCATGAATGTGATGAGGCATTGTCTCTTTTAAATTTCCTGTATGGTTTTGGAGTTTGGAGTCTTTGGGTTGATTTTCTTGCTCCTAGTTTTTTAAATTTCTTGATGCATCTCTTTGTCAGGTTTTCCTTTCCTAATTAAGGCCTTATGAGATAGCCCTGCTCCTGACTCCTCCCATTATCAAAGCATTCCAAAGGGAAGCCATTTTGAAGATTATTAATACTAGTGAGATGCTCGAAATTAGGTGAAAAACTTGGTTTTTTCCCCTCAATTGTGCACCCTTTCCTTGAATAGTGGAGAGAATATTCCTGTCTTGCACTTGTGCTCCTAGATAATATCTGGAACTGTTTTCTCCCTCTCTTTGGAGCTTCGTGGTGCCTCCAAATAACATCTTGAACTTGTTCAAGTCTGGTTTCCTCATAAGTACCGAAAGAAGGAAGATCTTGTGGAGATGTATAAGAGCAGTTACTCTATGGAATGGTTGGAATGAATGAATGATTGAATCTTAAAGGGCAAAGTATAAGAAGTCAGTTCCATTGTTGATCTCATTGCAGTCAGGGTTGCTTAGTAGGTTATAACAATGTAAGGGTCCTGGTTCTTTAGATCTTATGTTGATCTCATTACAATTAAGGATGCTAAGCAGAGAATGATCTGAGCTTGGGCTTCCCTGGAAAGTTGGATAATCAGATTTAACTTTGATGGTTGTTCTAAGTAATTTTGCTGAGTTATGAAATTGGGAATGATCTTATGAGTTACTCTAGATTTATTGGGGAGGAAAATTCTTCTGGTGTTGTACTATTGACACTATTACAATGACTATATCTGGTCTTCTTCAGGTTTGGGCAGCTTGTTGATTGAGGGAGACTACCGAATGGTGAAAAATTGGTTGTTTTCAGAGGAAGCTGTCCTTGGCCCCTCTCATTTTCCCTTGGAGAAGCTAAGGCATTAGCATCCTTTTAGGATTGATTGCTCGTGCATGTGGTTTCCTAGATCTGTTAATGCCTTATCATCAGGTTTGGTTTGTTGGATTTCCTATTCCAGGAATTGATTGATCACTTTTGTTGTAATGCCTGATTGAAGATTTGATTGCAAGAAGTAATGGCTACAGCCTTACAGGTTCAGTTACTGGTGGAATCGAATCTGAATCTGCTACCAAAAAGACACTACCTACACTCTACCCACAAGAAGCTACAGACGCACATTGGGAATCAGTCCCCAATCCCCATCAATGACAACATTCAAGTCTGAAACATATTCCAGATGTGCGGCTGTAGCATCTTTCTTTGTGGGTAGCAGACCTGGTCACATTGGAAGGAGAGTATGTGGAAATAAAATTAAGTTTGCTTGGCATATCTACATTGGTTGGTTTATCTCCTGTGCTTATGTTTCTTATATTTGGGATTGGTTCTCCTCTCTCTTTGGTTGCAGGTGAAATCCTCTTTCGTTTGTGCAGAACCTTTTTGACTCTAGCTTCTTCGAACAACCAAAGAAGAGGGGTAGGGTGATGTGAAAAACAATAAGAGTAGCTGTCATTTGCCGGTGTGGGAGGAGAGAAATAACAAAATATTCCAAGGGCAAGAAAAATCTAAGGAAGCACTTGTTGAGGGCATTACCATCATGATTATTCATTGTCTGAAAGCTTTGGAACTTTTCAAGGGCTTCTCTGTTACTGACTTCTTTAGAGGGTGGGCTTCTATAGCTGGTTCCTCATCTTCTTATACTATAGTTAAGGAAAGTTGGTCCCCGCTGCCTTGCTTTAGACTGAAATTGAACTTTGATGGAATCTCTAGGTAACTGAGGCCCCTTAGGAATTGGGGGTGTTTTCAGAAATGAGGAGGGAAGAGTGGTGGTCCTTTACTAAGGTCCAATAGGGGTGGGAGACTCCTCAAGGGAAGAAGTTTTTTCTTTACTCCAAGGTCTCAGACTAGCAAAGCAATGCTAATGCATTAGTTAGAAGTGGAAGGAGATTCCAAGATGGTAATGGGTTGGATGCAAGCAGGAAGTTTGGGCATGTGGCCTTTCAGACAACAGCTAAGAGAAATCTTGAACCTAGCAAGGGAGCTTGGGGTGCAGTTTAGGTGGGCAAGAAGATAAGCAAATGGAACGGCTGATTCTCTAGCTAAGCAAGGAGTCAACAGGCAGGAATTGTTTTTGGGCCTGTTTGTAAGAATGACTTTGCCTAAGGGTGTTCCATCCAGCCTTTGGATGATGACAGTTGTAATCTTTAATTATAGTTATCAATGAAAGTTACTGTTTCCTATAAAAAAGATTTAATTTCTCGATATAGCACCTATTTTTGTAAACATCTACTTGAATCATATTTCCATTTCTATTACCTTACAGATTCAAAAGAAAAAAAATGTTACTTAGCTACAGCAAAGACGCAGCTGGACGGTAGTAAATTTCGAATTTACACTTAAAGTCAACATGATATGGCACCCTTGTGCAGGTATCTGGTATCATGGCTTAAGAGAGAAGTGTTGTAGATTACTGGATTTTGAGCTTAAATAATGCCATTTTTTGATAACAAGCTGGTCACTTTATTACTTGAGAGAAAGAATGGACTATGTACAGATATGTACAAAGGTGCGAGCTAGCCTGCTGGTAAAGTCTCTAGCTGGTTGTAGCGCAGACCTGGGATCAAGTTCCACCTTCACCTGGGTTGGGGGGGGGGGGCTTTCAGGGTGTGGAGGAGGGCTACCCCCTGTTGTGTAGCACATTACCAAGAAAGAGAAAAAAGAGAAAAGTGTATAGGTATGTGCTGTGCCTCCCCCCTTGTCTTGCCAGCCTTTTAGTCATACAATTAGCTGACCTGTTGTCCATGTAAAAGTTACATTCATCTCAACCGCCAATCTTTTATCTCCCTCATTATATTCTATATATCCATTGACCTTCACTTTTTTTTTTGATCAGAAAAATAATATTATTTGAATTAAAATGTAGAAACAAAATTACAGTAGAGTGGGTGTCCAGTCACCCAAAGATAAACAAGGAAAAAAATACAATTCCCAAGCATAGTTGTGAAGGCGATGCCTAGGCGACAAGGCATCCTTGGAGGCTCGCCTCGCCTAATCACCAAACCGTTTTCTATAGTGTGTTATAAAAACAACATTTATATTCTTAATTTTTTAGGTTATAATTATAAAACAAACACTTTTAAACTAAAATATTCATATTGTGTGTTTATATACTAATTTCTTTTTGTTATTTTGTTATTTGTTAGGGTTTAATCAACACAAGCATTGCTAAACCTGAACATTTTCTTCTTTTCCTTTACTAATTTTGCTAAACTAAAATATTCATGTATTGAACCCTCAAAGACTTTGAAACCTGAACCAATAAGTAAGGAAGAATATAAAATGTTGTCCAATCAACACAGTTGAAAACAACCCTCTTGTAGTCTAAAACAACTTGAGATTAGATACAAAACCAGAAAAAGAACAAGAGAAGCTTAAGAAGTTGAGAGAGGAAGAGAGCTGGCGGCAATGAGTGTTAGAGAGTAAGAGGTTCGAACTTAACCTCTCTCTAACACTCTAAATCATTTTATTAACTTAATCTTTGAAATATTACAGAGGGGCCCTTG